GATGTGAAAACGGCTACAGAGTCTCGTTATTGTAATAATAATAATAACTTATTTATATAGCACCTTTTTAAAAACACAGGTTTACAAAGTGCTTTGACAAACAGCAAGAACAAAGCAAACTAAACCAAACACAGAAGAACATAAACAACCAAGAACATAAAATGCAAAATACTAAAAATAATTCAATACAATTCAACAGAAAAGAACCCATAGTGCACGATACCCAACAGACATATATAACCCGACCATCACAAGAACCATGATAAGAACCCAAGCTAAACAAGAACCCAACAACATGAGCTGAGACCAAAAGGACCAAAAAGATTAAAAAAAACTAAAATATTAATAAAAATAAAAAGTATATATAAAACATAAATAGACAAAGTAAGTAAGATAAGAAATTACCAAGTTAAAACATAAGAGGAGTTAAGATAAGAGCATAAATATGAGATAAGAGCATAAATAAAGAGCATAAATAAAAGGACAGTAAGAAGTAAAACAAGATAAAAATAGAAAAAAACAGTAAGAAAAGACATTAAGAAGACGACATAAGACATAAGAAGGGATTTAAAAGAATTGAGGGAATCTGCAAGTCTTATCTCCTCAGGGAGGTCGTTCCAAAGTCGAGGGGCCCTGACGGAAAAGGCCCGGTCACCTTTAGTTTTAGTCTCGACTTTGGAATGACCAGGAGGCCCCCACCTGAGGATCAAAGACGCAGTCAGAGCTACTGGCCTACATGGTGTCAGTAGCTCTGTTATATAGCTGGGAGCCAGCCCCGTCCGTGCTTTAAAAGTAATGAGTAAAATCTTAAAATCGATTCTAAAACTTACAGGAAGCCAATGTAATGAAGCTAAAATTGGAGTGATGTGATGTCATCTGTTACAACCAATAAGAAGCCTAGCTGCTGCATTTTGGACTAGCTGGAGGTGAGACAGTGACTTATTTGTGATTCCGGAAAAGAGGGAGTTACAGTAGTCAAGTCGGGAGAAATTAGGGCGTGGATGATCTTTTCAAGGTCTGGTTGCATTAGTATTGTTTTAATTTTGGAGATGGTGCGTAGATGGAAGAAGCATGATCGGACAACTGTTTTGATATGGGATTCAAAGGTGAGATTGCAATCTAATATTATTCCTAGATTTCTGGTGGTGGGTTGGACATTGGCGAATAAGGGACCGAGGCTGCTCTTTGAAATATGAGTGGAGTTTGGCGGGTTGAATACTATGATTTCAGATTTAGAATTGTTCAGCTGGAGAAAGTTTTGTGCCATCCAGCAGTTGATATTGTTTAGACAGTTTCTGACAGCAGCTAGGCTCCTAGTGTCCTCAGGTCTCAAAGGAAGGTATATCTGTGAGACCTGAGGACGGTAATGTTAGAGGTAGAGGAGGAGTAGTTACCGATGGTGACCGCAAAGGTTCTTTCTAAAAGATGAGAGTAAAACCAGCTAAGTGCAGTGTCCTTTAAACCAACCCATTTTCCGAGATGATCAATTAAATTGTGTGATCAACAGTATTAAAAGCTGTGCTAAGATCTTAAAGAATTAAAATTGTGCCTTCCTCTATCTGCTGCTAAAAGAAAATCATTGGTTACCTTTAGGAGGGCTGTCTCTGTGCTGTGACCAGCTCTATTGGAATTTCTCAAAGAGGTTATTTTCAGTCATAAAAGATAAAAGTTGTGTTGAAACCACCTTTTCTAAAACTTTTGATAAAAATTGAAGTTTTGAGATTGGTCTTAAATTGTTAAAATCAGTGGGATCAAGGTTGGGTTTCTTTAAAAGTGGTTGGACCACAGAATGTTTAAAAGCAGAGGGACTACACCTTCCGCCAAGGAACTATTAATAATGGATAAAATACTGGGTCCAACTGTGTTAAAAACCTCTTTGAGAAATGTTGTGAGAATAAAATCAAGGCTGCGCGTAGCTGATTTCATGTGGGTTAAAATTTCAGGTAAAAAGGTAAAGGACACCGGCTCAAAACTGCTAAAATAACTGTGAAGTTCCCTGCTGGTGTCTAAAATACGGTCTGTGGGTATGATTTGTCACCTAATGTCCTTGACTTTATTAGTAAAATAAGTTAAAAACTTCTCACACAGATCCTGAGAATTCTGATTGATTCTAAAACCTTAAATAAAACTCTGGGGTTAGAATTATTGGCTAAAATCAGATTAGAATAAAATGCTGCTCTTTAACTGCCTTTTGGTACATTGTTTCATTGTATCTCTCCATATTTCATAAAATACATGCAAGCCTGTTTTTTTCCATTTTCGTTCTTTCCTTCTGCAGTCTCTTTTTAGATCCTGAGTCAGTTCGTTTAGCTATGGCTGTGGAGCTCTGTTAGTCTTTTTGTCTTTATAGGGAGCAACAGAGTCCAGCACAGTTTGACAAGTGAGATTAAAAGAGGAGACCGGCTCCTCTGTGTTAAAATTTTGGTAAAAGGGCAGTTGAAGAGACAGAAATAAAAAGCTCCTTAAACTTGCCAGCAGACGTAGAGTTAAAAACCCTGCTGCGGACAGGTGCCTTGCTAAAAAAAGGTGGCTGAGATGAATGAAACCAGTTTGTGGTCTGACACACAGATATCCTTTGTCTCAAAGTTGTTAGGGCAGAGACCACTGAATAAAACAAGATCAAATGTGTGGCCCTGAGAGTGAGTGGGTTCCTGTATTGCCTGAGTAAGGTTAAAAGATTCTAGAATATCCATAAAATCACCCGCGAGGGACTGAGAGGGGCAACAGACATGTATGTTAAAATCACCTAAAACAAGGATTTTATCATACTTAGAAATAAAATGTGATAAAAACGCTGAAACCTCTGCAATAAAAACATTGTTAGGTCTGAGTGGTTCTGTAGATGATTAAAATTAACACAGGATCTAATTCGTCGTTATAGACTATGTTTGCCTACTTACTGATAATGTACAGTTTGTTCAACTAACTGGTGCTGTCACTTCTTCTGAGCAGGTTTTCAACATGGTTAAAGAATCAATGTGCGACTTTTTGATCCAGTAGATGTCGCCCTTGGGAACCAGCATGAAACTAAAACAAACTGCTGTTTGGTGAGACCTCCGCTATTCTGAAGCCTCCGCTCTCCTCCAGCGACACACCTCCAACCCCTCTCCACTCACTTTGCACGATGGAGTTATTAATTAGAACGCACTGTTATTAAGCACCATTAAGCACAAGAGGTGGATAAAATTATTCTTGGCTCGAGCTGCAATTGCCTGTGTCCTGCATTGTTGTGTTAGCACACTTTGGTTAGCTCATAGCTCAATATTGCACATAAATTGAGACAGAATGACCGAGATCTAAAAACACTTACATGACATTCAAATAGGCAGTGAGTATGTTATTCTTCTTTTCTCTCAACCTCGACTTAAACAGCTTTATACACAAGGCCGTCCCGCCCATGTAAACACAGGGCTGACAACAACACAGCCAGCAGGACACATGCTCCTCACTCCTTGTAGACAGTCATGATTCAGAGTGACATACCTGATTTCTGCTGTGTTAATGTATAAAATGTTGCACATTCTGCAGGTCTTCTGACATATTTGTTTTCTGTTTCAGGTGTATCATCTTTATCTTCCTTTGTTATATTCCATCCTATGAATATATCCGACTGCTCACTCATAAACCCTTTTCACACATACGGAAATCTCCTGAAAAACTCCGGAGATTTCCAGGAGGAGCTGTATGTGTGAACGCAACAGCCACATTTTTTACTCCAATATTACCCGGAGTTTATCCTGCCAGACCCCTAGTATTTTTTCCGCAGATAATCCGGAGGAGCTGATGTCTGAACACGGCCAAATATACGCCGGAGATTTTCAATTTGAGCCAATAGGAAGAGAATGATGTTTATATACTGTACAGTGACATGCCGCACGGTGCATAAAGTGTCTGCCCGCGACCACTACGATCTCCGTTCGCGTCATTAAGCGGCTGCATCATGTTTTCTGTTCGTCAGTATGTTGTTCTCCACTCTTTTGTGGATGTTGTCATTCCATTGAATTACACATAGCATTGATATAAAGGCAAATATTCTCATTATAACGTTGTGTAGCGGACTTCTGCGTTGTTTATTTACGTCACGTCTTACGTCGGGAAATCCCCCCCGCACCCCCTCCCCTCTGACAGGGAAAGTCCCCCGCTGTGAGGAGCATATGTGAACGGCTAGTTCAGGAGAATCTCCGGAGAAGTCCTCCTGTAAATATCTAGATATTATCCGGAGTGCATATGTGAAAACGGCTACACAGTGACAAGTACAGTTGTATAAATCTCTTTAGTTGAATTGCTGAATAGTTGCCTGATAATCAAGGTGATATATAACCTTCTGCATTGGCTTCATTTGTCAACACTGGAGGTTGCCACTGGGTTACAGTGAGAGGCAGATCTGTCCTAATAAATTAATGAATCGAAAAAAGACCCTACTTTCAAGCTGTCTGTTAAACAAAACCATGAAAGACATCCAGTAACATGCTGAGTTGTGCACGCTGAGTAAAGCCAGACAACACAGCTTCACGAACACAAAGCTTTTCCCCCCTCTTCCACTCAGCTGGAGTTCATTACCTCAAATATTTCACTCATGTTTCCACCTGGAGAGACTAACACCATAAACAACAAAGGCAAAATTTTGCTGCAACTTCAACACTTTCCCTTGATGCTGCAGCTAGACTCCATAATAGCTCTTGCAGATCTTTTGCCAACATCAAAGACATTTAGATGTTCAGAGAGATTTGTCTGGAATTCAAAACACAACACAATACAAACAGGATAGAGAGTGATTGAGGTCCTCCAGCTGAGTGACACCACGTACAGGCCCTCTACAGTGTGTTTACCAGCATCAGCTTGAACAACACATCACGCCACATATTGTTGACTCCCTGCGAAAGCTAAGATACACTTTTGGATGCGCACAAACAAGTCAAGTGTGAGATGTGACAGTGGGACGACACAGAAACTTGGCGGTGGCAGACCTGCTCGCAAAACTCTCCTATTCCTTGGCTGACCTGCATCATTCTTCGCTGCAATCTTCCTCTCCTTCACTTGCTGTTCCCGAGCTGTCTGATCTCATGGCTGGACATGGCGCACATGTCACTGCCTGCTTTATAAAGCACAAAGGCCGTGAGGGAGCGCTGACTGTCATGGTGAGTCCTGTGAAACACAGACGCTCTTTCACTGGGCTCCTCTGTGACGGACTGATTCTGAGAGAGTGCCTCCTCTGCACGGCAAAATGTCATCCCATTTTGCAATGCATGAGTCCAGCAGCCAATCGCTTTCCATCCCTAATTATCAGATTCAGAGAAAAGTGGCAAAGCTAAAGCACTATATTTTAGTAAAGTCTTGGCCTGCATGTTGAATAATGTTTTTTTATTTCTTGACGTGTTGCAAACAAGCTCATTTCAGCCTTTAAGCAAAGAGCAGGGTAGCTCGCATTTAAAGGAACCAGTGCAGTAACCATGGCAGCCTGGTTTCAGGGACAACAAAAAGGGTTTTGTCCTCATGGGTCGCTTTGCTGAACCCCACTGCAACTGGTCCACTTTTTATTCTCCCTCTCTCTCTCTCTCTCTCTCTCTCTCTCTCTCTCTCTCTCTCTATAAGCACACACAGGCAGACAGGGAGAAATCTTTTTTTTTTTTCCCATGGTGCATGGTGTCCCTGCACGGGGAGTGTTTACAGGATGTTATCTGTGTCAGTGCCGGCCCCTCATCCCTCTGAGTGGGTTTCTGAGGAATGCTGTGAACGGGATGGAGGAGTTCCAAAGGGGGAGTGCACGAAAGAGAGACTGACAGACACCAGGAGAGAGAGAGAGAGAGAGAGAGAGCTATATATACATCCAAAGGAGGCTGGTGCTCACTGGCACAGATGGACTACTGAATAACTGGACTCTAGCCCATTGGATATTTAGCAAGAAAGGTGAGTAAAAAAATACATTCTGATTACATTATTTTTATCACCATCATCTTCTTTATCCAGTTAACATATTTTTAATTTTCTTTTAAAGAAAGAAAGAAAGAAAAAAGCTCAAGATTTGGTGTCCATTGTTAAGCTTTTCTTTCCTTATTTTAAACTGGTCTTCATTAGAATTTATTATAGGCTTTGAGGAACTGGAAGTTGAAAGAAGACCTCAATTTCCCCATAAGTGAAATCTCAAATTCATCAGAAATGCCAGAGGTAGAAATGAGTCCCTTGGGGATGTGGTCTTGTTGAAGGCTGGCGTATGTGGTATCTATTAAAGCTCTGTAGCTCTGAAAAACTCACTCTGAAATGGTGGACCAGTGTTTGATCAAGTGCTCTGTGGGACTCGCCTTTTTTTCAAACTCTGTCATAAAATATCACTTTTGTGTCTTAAAAAAAAAACAAAAGGACAACTTTCTTTTGTTGGAGATATTTTGAAGCACAAGGCAACATAACTAATCAGTAAGTATTTTTATTCACTTTTGTTTTTCTTTTCTAGAATGAAATTTCATTCCGTTGTGTAATTACAAATGACAAATTATGAATGTTGCACTTTTTGTTATTGGCATCAGCTGGTTCTTATGACTAAAAAACATATAAAAGGCACTGATGGCATGTGAGTGAATAAAGTAAAAGCAATTAGTGCAGAGACAGGAAAAGCTGTAAAATGACACCACTGATCTCATCACTGCAGCAGTTATTGGTGAGTCTATATTCTATTTCCCTTAGAAAACTTTTTTTTTTTTACAAACTTCAAAAGACATGATATTTTAATTAGACAGGGTCCGTAATGAGGAGTTTAATGTCATTATTGAACAAGTGCACTGGTGGGGGTTTCTTCTCTCAGACCTGGGTGTGCCTTTAGCTGAGCTGGCCTCCAGGGAACAAGCCATGAGTTAGGTCATCTTTCTTCAGTATTTTTTTTCTTTACTGAAAATCATACTATCATTACCACGTAAATCCCCCTCTTCTACCATGTTGTGAACATCTGTGTTTGTTTTGGGTCTTGGCTATTGTTAGAGCAATAAAAAATTATATCCCAAAGGACCAGTACTGCAATGTTGCACAATACTCCACGTCATAATTCATGAGTACACACACCATGTTTAATATTTGTTCTGAATTAACATCGGTGAGTGCCTGGTTTTGTATACTTTCATGAGCTTTTTGGATTTGTTTCAATGCCACCAAGGCTTAAAAAAAAAAAGAGTCCCTGTCATTAACTGAAGCTGTGAGGGTGCGGCATGAAACTGGATGCCTACATGTGCCGACATGACCTGCTGTTTGCTTTATTGTAGGGTTATGTTTGTCAGGAAAATGTCCTGTGAGAAAACAGTGACTTGATGTCAGCTGATTGAATTTGCTTAAAAAACAAAGATCAAGCACCAACACTTAAATGTCTTAAAAATGCTCTATAATGAACTTTAAAAGGGTTTCATGTTTCTTCTTCTTTCAGGCACCAGCAAAGTCTTTGGCTGTGAAACACAAGTTTGATATTTTAGCGTGAAATACACGATACAACAATGAACAACGTGGCAGATTGGATCGTGCAGAACAGGGACAAAATTGAAAAGGCGTGGAGATCATGGGGCAAGCCTCAGAGGTGCTTGCTTCCACCGTGGGCCAGCTTCACCCTGTCCTGGAGGCTGTGTTTGTTGCTTCTGCTGAGTTACTCAGTAATCCAGAGGGCAAAGAGGCTCGCTACCTGACTCAGCAGTTTGAACTGGTCAACCAAAAACTCGAGGGGATCCAGGATGAGATAGACAAAATCGCCTTGGAGCTGCAGAGGACGTCGATGAACAAGCAGAACTTCGATCGAGAGGCGCAGATGATAAGCCAGTATGAAAAGTTCCAGGACTTTGTCAATGCCAAGCCAAAGTTCAAAGAGAAGAAGATGGAGAAGTTTCTCAGCCATTATGAGAACACAGACGGCGACATGAACTTGGACGCCCTCTACAATGCAGTCATTGGGGATAGCACCTCAGGAGACCCCATGCTGGAAACTGTCGTCACCACAGAGCAGAGAAGCAGAAGGGCAGTTGAGGATTTTTGCGCCCGGCTGAAGAAGCTCTTTGTGGTGGGCATTATCGCCGTCATGGGCCACTCTGCCCTCAAAGAAGGGGTGGTTGGGGAGGAGATGGTGAAGAGGTGGAAGGACCGCATGGAGGACGTTGAGACCCGAATGAAAGCAGCTGTGGATGAATGTACAGAGAAATTCCCAGATCAAGCCAAGATGGACCTGGAGCACATCCTTCAGGAGAACCCCGGCACGGTCAACAGCGAGTTCACCCAAACTCTTCTGGATTCACTTGTTAAGAAATACGACTGGGTGAACTGGTCCATCAGGGCCTTCAACAACCGGGAGAGGATCTTCTTTTTCAACTGGCTGGCAGGAAAGAAGTGCCATGGAAGTGGGGGAACCAACTGGTTTGATTTTTTGACCAAGAACAAGATCAAAGTGGTGGTCTCTTTCTGTGTCGACCCCAAGCCCATCAACAAGAGTCAGATCCAGGAGAAGATCGAGGCCAGGAAGCTGAAGGGCAACATGATGGCATTGGCTCTTTCTTTGAACACCAGCTTCCCCAACTGCCTGGTCCATGCTGTCAGCCATTACAAAGAGGTGGTTGAGTCCAACAACTTCCATGAGGATTGTTACTACTATGGAAAGCACAAAAGAGCCTACCTGTGCATCCACTCTGAGTAGACTCAGAGACAGAAAAAGCGGAGCGATACAGATCAATGAATGTCTTTACCAGAGAACAGTGGACATATGTCCATTAAATTTAGAAACCAATTCATGAATGTTGTCTGTCTTCAAGCGTAATCTGCTCTCTACAGGATCTTGAATGTGAGTCATGGCCTTATTTGTAATGACTCTTTATGCTTTTACACACATATATATATATATCGTTCCTTTGTTGGTTATATAGCAGCTTCAGGGTGTAGAAATTTCAGAGCCATACATTTCCATGCCAGCTTTGTCAAAGTGTCTCAGTGATACAATGATGAGTCAATGTTTTTGGCTGCCTACTTTTATACTGAGGTACCTGTCCTCTTTAATCCATGTAATCCCTCTTAAGATCTCTTGGCGTAGCAGAATATTGTGTCAAGGCTGTAAAACAATCAACAAGTCAGGTTGTTTTCTGATTTTTGTGTAATTGTGATGCAGTTTCAAGAATTTTCATTTGGTTTAGCCACAATACTGGTCATGCTGTTCTTCATAGTTCTATAAAGCCTGTAATGGATCCAGAACAAGGAAATTCAACGGATTGTAAGATAACAGTTCGAACTCTAGGGTTGTTATTTTTCTTGCCAAGAGTTACATTAGGAGATAAGTGCAAGTCTGTTTGCGAGCCCTCAGAGTTAGCTTAGCTTGGGATACTTAGCTATGTTTAAAAACTGGAAACAGCTAGCTTTGCTCTATCCAAAGATGACAAAATTCCTCTTTCAATAGATAGAAGGCCACATTTACACGACTACGATTTTTGCCAGAATCTGTAACATTTTGCAGAGTTATGTATGTTCGTTTACACACCAATGGGGTTTTGGGCGCCTGACCACAGAAAGTTTCACCGTTTCCTTTGTCGTGCAATACGCTGTTCCTCTGCAAACAGAGACTTAACGAACGAGCGCATTACAGTCAAGACAACAGCTGTAAGCGAGTAAGTGGACTACAACAACAATGGCAGACTCCTGAGTTCTGTTTGTGAATTTAGGGTCACATTTGCGCATTAGCCATTTTTGTATGTTTACACCCCGCTTCTCTGTGGAAGGGAGAGTATGTGCACATGTGTGTGTCGTTTTATTAGAAAGTCACACCACAACTACTGGTCTGGCATGTATATTACAGCGTTTTTAGTCATTTCTGTGGATCCTTATGGAGGGCGTTGTCTAAATGCGGAACTTTTTTTCCATTTTCAGCGGATCATTCTCGAGTAAACGTAGCCTGAAGTTCCCTATTTTTGTTTGATCATATACATTGCGTAAGACTAGCCTACTTGTCGGAGTAGTAACTCTCCAAAGTCTTGACATACGTACAATCCCCTCTAAAACCAAAAGGTCAACATCAGTATTTGTATAGATTTAAAAAATCAAATAAGATTAAATATCTAAATTATTGAGCTTTTTCTGTGTTAAAATATATTTTGTCACCTTTGGGCAGAGCCTGTGTTTTTGCAGTTATGCTAAGCTAAGCTAATCTAACCTAGTCCTG